CCCCGGGTGGTTGCCCCCGCCCCTCGCTCAGCCAGTGAGTGGCCGGTCAGTATGTGGGATCCGACCCCTCGGCGGGAGCGCCGCCACACTTCCCAAGCGGCGCACTATAGCAGTGCGCCACTAGGCCGGCCCCTCAGACATTTCTTTGAGCCATATAGAAGGCAAAGATGAGAAATTTAGAAAGTGTCTATTTGCAAAATAATTGTTTCCATTAGAGAAAAGCATCATGGAAAGTAATAAAGGGAGAGGAAATCAAAATCTGGAGTTAGTAAGATCATTCAGGGAAATATTTGTTATGGAGTATTATGTAACTGTGGCTGTTTGTAACCCAATCTCTTGTCCCCAGAACAAGAGGCAGAGGAAGGGGACGAGGCAAGAGGCGATTTGGCCCAGGTCGACGGCCAGGGCGTCCTCCAAAATTTATCCGCCTGGAAATAACCAGCGAAAATGGGGAAAAGAGTGATGATGGGACACAGGTATGGGGGCGTGGGAAGGACTCTTCTGAGAGGCCTATTGAGAGGACTTATTAGAACTTTTATGAGATTTAAATACAAATACCTTTCAGATGTTCAGAGTCCTTTCATATCAGAGCTTCACTGCATGTTAATTAAAGTGTGATTGGAGGACAGCAAAAAGAATGTGTTTTCAAAGATTACAACAAAAACCCTGCTTTGCTGCCCTAAAGATTTGAAACTCACCAGAGATATTAGAGGTGGACTTTGTTTAATTAAACAGTTGAAATTATTGATATTCTAGAAGAGTCATATCAGTCTTTTCCTTGTTAAGTGCTCTGGAATATCTTACAGTTTTTGCATTCTGTGCATAGTTACCTAATTAACTCTCCCAGAGGGAGAATATTTTTTCTGAGTATTATGAATCTAATCATTTAAAAATAAGCAACAAATCTAAATCTGAGCCAACAGTCCTTCCAGTACTGATCTCTATCTAGGCAGGGAAATAATTCCCGGTTATTGCAAATTTCAGGACTTGCTACATTTTCCCACAAAGGAGCAGTTTGATGAGGCTGAACCAGCTACTCTGAATGGGCTGGATCAACCTGAACAGACCAGTATCCCGATCCCTCAGCTGCCACAGGAAACCCAGTCATCTCTGGAACGTGAACCAGAAACTCACACCCTGCATCTGCAGCCACAGCCTGAAGAGAGCGTAGGGCCCACCCAGTGCACGCTGACGGCTGATGACATGCGCAGAGCCAAACGTATCCGAGTAAGTGGGGACAGTGTGCTCGTCCCTCTAGGTGCTGATCTTCCTCCATCAGCCAGCGTTTTCGGTGCTGTTTTCCAACCTATTCACCATCTACTTTGAAATTTTGCATCTAGCCTATCACATGCTTGATCTTCTTATTTTGGAAGAAAGTACTTTATTAACTATTTCTCAGTGTCTCTCTCCTATGTCAGGTGAGCAGGGCTGGTCCTAGATTCCATCAATTTAGAATGACACAGATGCCTGGATTCTGGCAACTTAGTATAGTCAAAGTAGGATAATTTTCCACATCCCTAAGTTCACAGATTGGAAATGGAGAAATAAGTAAATTTAATTGATTTAAGTATTTATATTTTAAGCCAGCCTAATCCTAGCTCTCAGGTTAATTTTAGGTAGCTGAATTTGGTTTTCTACAGTTTTCAAGGGGAGACTGGCAAATGTCATTACTCGTCAATGCAAAGGGACTTGTGTTTCAAGTAGATAGGGCAGGCACAATCCACACACCTGGAGATAGCTTGAAGTAGAGCTGTAGGTTCGCGTCTCATGCTAGGCAGTGTCTCACTTGTGCACCTGTGTCTTGGCTTTAGATCACGTGGCTGCAGGGCTTCCATGACTCCCAATGCAGATGTGTTCCTCTCTCATTATTTCACAGACAGCATCGGATCCTGAGTTAGGAACTGCAGGGGATGCTTGTGGAAAACAATATGGTTCTGTAGGATAAGCGTCTGTGCTAACAAAAAACACGGACATAAACCCCATGTTTGTGGCAGCTGGACATAAAAAGACTTTTACTGGTGCTTTACATGTAAATGAAAGAGACTTTTTGTTTAACTTTCCAGGCTTTACAATCTCTAGATGGCTGATCATTTTAGTTTATGGTTCTTTTGGTTTTCTTATTTGTCTATAGGCTAGAAGGGACCTTGAAAAATAGTCTTGTCCATGCCTTCATGTAAAATACATTTAAACATTTATAGCCATATAATAGCTTCTAAGAATTCTTGAAGCTAAATAGCATTTATGAGGGTCCTGTAATTGAAACATATAAAACTTTTGGTATTGTTCCAAGAGGACATGTAGACATACATAACATAGGCCAGAAGGAATGTAAAATACATTTAAACATTTATAGCCATATAATAGCTTCTAAGAATTCTTGAAGCTAAACAGCATTTATGAGGGTCCTGTAATTGAAACATATAAAACTTTTGGTATTGTTCCAAGAGGACATGTAGACATACATAACATAGGCCAGAAGGACAAAAAGCTTTGAATTACTATCTTTCTACTTTGTTTCTCATCTTTCTACTTTATTTCCCAACCTGTACTTCTTTCCCTTGCCCAATTACTGTCTTTTCTGCTATGGTCATTCTGATTTTTTTCTAAGTCCAGAGAAATGCTTAATAGATTTACATTTTTTAAAGGAAAATACTAAAGCCCACATGTGCAGTGAAGTTGTGGATGTGTAAGCATAGTCTAGCTGTTTTCTTGAATGAGTTGGGTTACTGGTTTTGGTATAAGGTTCTTTGTGTCAAAGCAAAAGCCATGTGTATGTGGCTTTTGGAGGCTAGTCTTAGTTGAGCTGTTTTGTTTTTCCTGTCACACATTCTAAAAAGTAGGGCTATGTATTTTTTCATCTTTTCTATCCAGATTGGTAATGACCAACTGAAGGGAAGTCTTCCAATCCAATTGGTAATGTAACTATTTTTCTCTCCTCTAATGCTGCCTGCTCAGTTGGAGCTGCAGGTAGGTTTGTTTCCTGTGTTTCAAATAACAGAATGTTATTTAAGTGTTTGCCTGACCTGCTGTTCTTTGCAACCTGTACTTACTAAATCCTGGTGGAAACCACAATTTGGTTGCTATGGTAAATGCAAATTAATGAATAATGATAATTTATTTGCAAATCAATGAGTAAATTTTGAGCTGCAGATGCCACATATACAAAATGAAGGGTAGGACTACGTGATCTCCAAGGTCCCTTCCAGCTCTAAAACAATTTGAATGACTGTGGAATGGTATTGCATTTTAACTATATATTCAGCCCTGTGCTAGGTACACAATAGAATTTGCACTTGAGCTCTGTTTTCCAAGAGCTTATAGTCTAAAAAGGAAGTCAATACTAACGTAAAGTATTATAAGGTACAGTTAGCTGTTATAAAAGTGTAGCCTATAATTCCTATAGGAACTTGGAAGAGTGAAAGACCAAAGAAAGATGGAGGAGTCAGGGAATAATTCATGGATGAGGTAAGACTTAGACTGGTCCTTGAAAGAGAAATTGGAGGAAGGTAGTAGTCCGTTCCAGAGCAGGGTAGCCATAGGATCAGAAGCCCAGACATGGGAATGTGGTTGGTTTGGTTATGAGACAGTGCAAACACTAGCTTGACCCTCACATGGGGTGCCAGTTGAAGAATAGATAGTGAGGTATGTTGGGCAGGCCTAGCTCCCAGAGGCTTTGAAAGCAGGGCAAAATAGAGGCCAAAGAAAAGTTGTTTAAAAAACCAAAAACCAACAAACAAACATAATTGTTTGATTTCTTTTTAATATCAGAATCACAATAGTATAAAAATCTATAAATCATTTAGGCTTCTTTAGCTATTAATATCAAATTTTAGAAACATTTTATGATCTTTGTTTGCAAAGAATCTATTGTCTCAGAATTCGTTGCAATGTGAATTGAATCCTGCATTACAGAATTTAGCAGTGATACTATTTTGGCATTCTTAGAGTAGCTGCTGTACCATATAGTATGGGGTGGTTGACTAAATTAGGGATCAGAAGAACCGTAATGAATCTACGTGCTTCCTCTACCATTTTTCATGATTTATTCTGGAAATGTGTACCAGTTATGGTTCTGAGCTATGGAAGATGCCTTAATGTGGAAATGGCCTGCAAGTGGGTCAAGGGGTGGGAACAGTTTCAGCATTTTTACTACCTTGTATATGAGGATCACATTTGTGTCATTAGATCAGAGAAATACAGTCTAGTTCTCAAGTACTTAGACAATGTTCAGGGCTCCATGGACATTAAAAAGATAAGATTTGTTAATAGAACTAAAAGAGTGGAGCCAGGTGTCTGGCTGCTCAGTTTAAATTGAGTGTCTGAAGGTACTCATGTTAATCAGAAAAGACAGAAGACTGATTAGCATAATGGACCAAAATAAGACTGAGTTCTGGATTTGGCACCCAAAGAGAAATGGAATCCTTAGCAGGACCAAAATCTGTTCTTGTGCATTGTGTCTGCCCTTGGAAACTTCCCTGAACTTGGATAGAGGAAATGATTCTTACATGGCAAAAGTGCTCTAAATCTTGAATCTCTGAATCTCAGAATGTCATCTTTTTATCTGCAATATTTCCAAAAAGTTTTGTAAGTAGACAAAATAGTAAGCACTTTTATGGAAATAAGTATCTATCCAGAGAGAGTAAAAAGATTAGGTGACTGCAAAGCAGTGCGAGGAAGTACAAGCAAGCTCTGTAGGTGATTTGCAAAAGACCTACTCTTAAAGATCTCTGCAGATGCTACAGAAAAGACCTCGAAATAATTTTTTTGTTTCATATGAAATATATTCATTAATTTTCAAACTATTATTAAGCATCTCCCATGAGCTTAGCAATTTGTTAAGGGGATCTAGTGACAAAGGAGAATGAAAAACGATATACTCCCTGATGCAGCCCTGTCAACACAGGAAGACAACAGAATTTCTATTCATCTACTCAAGATAAATGAGTAGGTAGCATCTTAAAATGTCTCTCCCTGCCCTGTTAGAGAAGCCCTCAGAAGGAAATTTACTAAATCCAAAATAGTTATTTTGCTTTTCCCCCAAATGATTATTTCACATTAAATTTAGTTTAGAAGTTGCTTCTTATAATTTGAAATTAAGAGTTTAAGCGTTGTTCACTATACTTTCTTCATTGCACAGATAATGCATTGTCTCCATCAATCCTTCAATTATTACTCTCTTATAGCCACACAGGCACACATTCACAGGTACACTTTTGACAGAATTTTCCCTCCGCGTGTCTATCTAGATCTTTCCCTGGGTGTTTTGAGGAACTTATGAATGAGTCTTCATTACAGCATAACTAAAATATTGATTCTGTATTCTCTGTGTGAAAGATGGTTCTGTTGATCTGCTCTCAGTAGAGCATGAGTTGTTTTTCTAGTAGTGATGGATTTGTGCTAAGTATCCATATCCTCTCACTTGGGTTCCCTATGACAATTGCATGCATTTACAAGATGGCTAATCAGCATTAGAAGTGCAATCTGTGACTGAGAACAAAGAGCAAAATTGACTGGTCTAGACAGGGAACAAAGCGAGAAGCTTAACTTTGTTAGCATGGCATTCTAACCAACAGAACTAACTAGCTGCACTGGGAACTTGTCCTCTGCATTTTCTAAGTAGGGAGTGATGAAGTGCATATATTCCACTTATGATATGTGCTCATGCATTATGTTTCATGAGCAAACATTCACATCAACCTGAGTCCTTCATTTCCCTTTCAGTTCTTCTACTTAAATTGAGACCTATAATTCATGTAGCATAATATTTACCCTTTTAAATATTTTTGTTTAAATGTTTAGAATATTCCTAAAGTTGTGCAGTCATCACCACTACATAATTACAGAATGTTTACGTCACCTTCGAAAGAAGGTGATTTCCTCTTCCACCAACCCCTGGCAAGGACTACCCTTCAGTTTTTTTTGTTACCCTGGCAAGGACTACCCTTCAGTTTTTTTTGTTACCCTGGCAAGGACTACCCTTCAGTTTTTTTTGTTACCCTGGCAAGGACTACCCTTCAGTTTTTTTTGTTACCCTGGCAAGGACTACCCTTCAGTTTTTTTTGTTACCTTTTTTTGCTGAACATTTTAATAATGCTCCAAATTCCTTTCCTCAAGAACTGCAACAAGTAACATCGGCTGGCTTGCTCCAACCTCATTCATGCATGCGTGACTTACCACAAGCCTTTTCCTCCAAATCTTCGATTTTTATCCTACTCCACTCTGGGATTTGTCTTAGTGTACGAGTCTATTTAGAACACTTTTTGAGTGTTGTCTAAATCCTTTCAAAATAAAACACACATATATAGACATAAAACAAAACACAGAAAATCCTGTCTTTGCAGGATGAGCTTCTTTGGGGATGGTTTCGTTTTCAGTGTCTTCAGAGAAATCTTCTTTCAACCATGCGTGTTCTAGAGTTCTGTGGGACCTTCTCTGGGAAGTCTGTGATTGCTGGGACCATCCTCTCATCCTCTACAAACATGCGACGTACTAGCCACTCCAGATTTTCTCATGAAATGATCACATTTGTGTGTGTCTTTCAGAATGCAGCTCTTCAGCATCTGTTTATTCGGAAGTCCTTCCGGCCTTTCAAATGTTTGCAGTGTGGGAAGGCCTTCCGAGAAAAGGACAAACTGGACCAACACTTGCGCTTCCATGGGCGGGAGGGGAACTGCCCGTTGACCTGTGATCTCTGTAACAAGGGCTTCATCAGCAGTGCGTCCTTGGAGAGCCACATGAAGCTCCACTCGGATCAGAAGACTTACTCTTGCATTTTTTGCTCAGAATCCTTTGATCGCCTTGATTTGTTGAAAGATCATGTGGCCATTCATATCAATGATGGCTACTTCACCTGTCCAACTTGTAAGAAACGGTTCCCAGATTTTATCCAGGTGAGTGTCTCCTACTGAGATCCCTGTCTGCTTTCTTCTTTTGGTAAAAGAGACACCGATTTTTGGAAAATTGAGACTGCCCAGCACCTGCCTTTTCATCCCTTCTTTGAAACAACTTTACAATTCAGAATAATATTTCTTCAATCAAATTACTTTGATAGACAAAAAATTATTATGATCCTTCATTGTCCAGATCAGACATTGGCATTTAAATGTTTACATTATATTTGCAAGTAATAAACACCCAGGTCTGTTTATAATTTTAAAAAAGTCTTTCTTAATCCTTGTCAATATTTATTACTCATGAAATATATGGAATCTGTAAAAGACATACATGTCCAGATCAGACATTGGCATTTAAATGTTTACATTATATTTGCAAGTAATAAACACCCAGATCTGTTTATAATTTTAAAAAAGTCTTTCTTAATCCTTGTCAATATTTATTACTCATGAAATATATGGAATCTGTAAAAGACATACCCTGGTTTCCTGGGCTGGAAACATCTTCCTACCACTGTGGATTCTTGTCTAGCTTTACTAAGGTCACGCATTTGGAAGGAAGCAAAGAGAAAGTTGATGTATAATATACTTTTGTATCAAGCACTGACTGCCTCCCCTGTAGTATATTCTTTGTTGGAGCAAAATGGGTGAAGATAAATTCCAGAATATTCATGATTTTATTTGGGCTTCAAGTAATAATATTTTTATATGCTAGTCAGTGAATAATTAAATCTAAGTATCTCATACAAATATTTTTTTTTTCTTTTACCAAAGCAAAAGGAGACTAGGATTTATCATAGTTCTCTTATTGTTGAGAGTCTTGGAAATTTTCTCACTTCACACAATTAGAAAGGTTGCTTTAAGGCAGACCTTAACGGCAAAAGAAACTCCAAAAATAATGAAGCAAAATGTCTTATAGGAATAGTGTGATATGACTCACTACTTAGTTTCTATCCACAGCTCTTCTTCATTGGATATTTATGGCTAAGAGTGTTCAGAAACCATTTTCCTTTATTTAAGGTATCTAAAAGTAAAGGGAATAAGTCCCAATTAAGGAGAAATGGCACCGGTATTTTATCATTCTTATAAATGGGTATGTTTTCTATATCATCTAATTCATGTCTTTAATTCTTCAGAACCTGATTTTATAGGAAGATGTAAAAGGATCAATTACTAAAAGGGACTAAATTGCTTCTGTACATGTTGAAGGCAGAAAAAAGTGAGGAAGAATTATTTTTTGTTTTCTTATATAAATAATTTTTAGCATGATTCATTTAAACTCAAAGGAACTCTGCTTTTAATCTTAAAAAAAAGAAAAAGAAAAATGGGCCCAAATGATCAGGGCTTTGACCAAGCAAACCCTCATTCTTCCACTCTTCAAGTCATCTGGGGGAGTTAAGACTCTAAGGCTTTCTGGCTACTTGTTTTGTTTCTTTGTGACAGGGACGGTATATTATTGAGGCCAATTATCACATCTGATTGGATCACACGGCCAGGTTGATGAAAATCTGTGGTAATGCATCTGGCTCCCCCTAGCGTTGATAAGCTGCTTTTGGTCATTTCTTTTGGTGCCTGAGTCCCCTGAGTTTTCTTTCCCATGGTCTTTACTGCCAGGTGAAAAAACACGTTCGCAGCTTCCACTCAGAAAAGATCTACCAGTGCACAGAGTGTGATAAGGCCTTCTGTCGCCCAGACAAACTGCGACTCCACATGCTCAGGCATTCGGACCGCAAAGACTTCCTGTGTTCGACCTGTGGGAAGCAATTTAAGGTACGACACCAACTGCAGCCTGAAGTTGTTCTCATGGCCCCTGGAATTATGTCACACTAAGGGTAAATGCCTGTTCATTTAACCAGTTTGTTACCTACTTGTGAAGAACTGGACTTGAGATGCACTTTGGGCCTCATGTTTGACTTAGTTATAAAATGAAGGGAAAAAGCTTACCTTACTTCCTTTCTCAAAATAATTAAAATCCCCAAACAAATATAATAATGCATCTCCTAAAATAATCCAAATGTATAATGACTAGTAGAAACTAAATTGCTGTTGAGGAATTCCTAAGAGACGAACACATTTACTTACCATTCAAATGAGGAGATTTTATTGAGCACCTATTAAGTCTGAGAGCCTGTAATTGAACCTCACAGGCAGCAGGAGTCCCATCTAACAGAGATGGGAAATCTGAAGAACACTGAGAGGGCTTAGACTACTTAGGAGAATGTTAATGACTTCAAGAATTAAAATAAAAAATAATAAGTATCAGTAAGCCGCTTGGAATTTAGAAGAAGCCAAGGAAAAACCTGAAGGGGACTTAGAGATAACAGTTAAGTAAATAAATGTGAAAACAATAAAATATGCTTCATTGGGAAATCTAATGATTCTGCAAAAAATGTCCTTGAGAGACATTCTACTTAATATAATTGTAGGTTACACCATCATAGAAGCTGGAAAAGGATCAGATGTGGATTCAGGAGGGAAATTAAGGGTGTATTTGTATAGCATGTGAAGGCATTACAGAGAAATAGAAGGTAATTTTCAAAGCTTAAGTTTTGTGGTATAGCTAATAATCTTTTTTTTTTTTTTCTTTTTGTCTTTTTTCATGACCGGCAACGGATCGCAACCCTCAGTGTCGCACCCGTACCGGCCCGGGACC